ACGTTTGTATGTGCCTTTGGTTCAACAGAACTTATCCCATACTGAGGAGGTAACTCAGTCATTTGCTTCAGGTGTGTTGGACAAAGGGTGGATGTAAAACTTGCAAGACACCAGCCCTCAGGAACTGGAATTGCCCACCCTTGTTCTAGATAAAACTTATGATATGGATTGGAAAGAAGGATTAATAATAAAGTTGATAAAAATCCGGAAAAAAAACTGGTTCGTGAACTTTTCAACAGAATGAATACTTTTCTTTCAGAGAATGATGTTCAGTCATGATAAATCATTGATTTAAAGGAATGGATAATTATTTAGGCTACTCTCTTTTTGCAGATAGAGCTATTTGGAACCATGGAAGAATAATAAATTTGCTGTTGCAAAGATACAAAAAGCAATCCTCTAAGATTTTACAAAGACACATAAATGGATCTTCAGTTGATACACCAAAAATATTCCTTTTTACACAGAAAGAAATCAAGAGGTAAAACTAAACCTATAAAAGCAGGGACTTCAATGAGGTAATATGGTTTGATGAAAAGCAATACTGGAGAGAAAGTTCTTTGAAAACTAAAAAGATATTGAATATAATGAGATGAATGAGGAGCAGATAGACAAGCTTAAAATTTTAATTTACATAAATCTCATTAGGACTACAGTTGATTATGGTGTTATAATTTAGAAATCCGCATCTTTACAGGTGGAAGTGAGTTAAATTCCATTAACATTTAGAAGGATTTAACTACTGGGTTGATATTGTAATGACACAAAGACATCCTACACATGTCTAATCAGAAGTGAAAAAAGGGCATATAATAATTCATGTGGTAGGAGAATCAAAAACCAACAGTATTATAAGTTAATTAATTTAAACATTAGTCCAGATGTGCCTTTATCAATGATACAACCATGGACTCTACCTGATGACTCTGAAAATATTAAAAATAAAAAGTAGAGATAAAAAGCATATATGCAATTCAGTAGCAGTATGATAATATATGTACAGCAGTTTTATAACTGATAAAACTTACACATGCATTGCAGTATCAATTAGAACAAAAATGAGTAGTAGTAATAGTTCCAGAGTTTGAAATTGATATACTGTAGGGGAAAAATATTAAATGAATGTGTTTTTAAAAAGCAGATATGATGGCATCACTACTTTCAGTAGAATTGATTGAAATCGTGTGACTTCTAAGTGCTGTAACATAATTAGATTCAGGTTCATTATCAGTGTAATGAAGTTAAAAGAAAAACTATGTCGTTTTCAGATAATGGGGTTAACAATGTAGTTTCACTCCATTCCTGCACATAAAAGTGATATAAGAATTGATACTAGAAAATAAGAGAATAAAAGAATTATCAAAAGAAAGATCCAAGAAAAAAGATGAAAACATTATGAAGAAAAAAAAGGATGATTGTTTTACATATTAGAAAGAATTGTTGGTGAAGACTGAAAGATTATTGGAAAGGAAAAAAAAAATCAGAAGAAGAAAATAACTAGACTACAGCCATAAAGAACATAACTTAACATTACAGCTGTGGGGAAATTAAAACGAAGTACAGAATTAGTGTGAAGTCTTGAACAGATAAAAAGAACTGTATAATATACTGTATATATTTTAAGGCAAAATGATTTTGGTATAAGCTATAAGTCTGTTTTTGTAATTTATTGACATCTGGATTAGTTAAATTAATATAGTATTTTCTTTTTTATCTAAAAAGTTTTTCCAGGTCCACACTACTCACTGGGCGGTAGAGGTAATGCACTACATTGCTGTCTGCCAGCCGGCAGTAGAATCAAGAAGACGAAGATTTGGACTTTTAAAAAACCCAGGGACAGTTTTCATACACAATTTTCTTGTTAAATTCACTTTCACTGGCCCAACTACCTAACCAGTACATTTTGAGCTTGTTGAGGGGTGGGTTGTGTACAGCTGCAGTGCCTTGTTCGACCAGCGGCAGCAGTAACCAATGAAGGTGATTGTCAAATGTGTAGTCAGTTTATCAAGAAATAGCCAACTTTGAAGGCACTTAACCAATGAATTACCATGATAAACATAAGTCCAAACAGTTGGACCCTGAACTTAAAAAGTCTCCTCTAAAATGAAAAGCAGAAAACCCCCCGGTGATGCAAAGCAATGAAGACATGAATGTAAGCATTTGTCAGGCTGATTGAAGTAAACCAGTCAGTTGGGGAAATCATCTGCAACACCTTCCTGGTGGTCAGCATACAAAAGGCATGACTTTAAGATATGCATTCAAGCCTCTGAGATCCAGAATTGAAGGACAAGAAAATACATGGAACATAAAAGCCTTTGATCCTGCAGGAGTACAATCCAATGGCACAATCCTGGAGCAATGCCACTGCTTTCAGATAGTCATGGATGACAATCATTCAGACCCAGGGATACTGGACAAGGCTAGTTATCTTTAATTAATTTGTTTTACTTTCTAAATATATTAAACATTTTATGCATTGATGGGTTTGATTGCTTTTTTTTTTTTTTTGAAATGCAACAGAGTCGGATATATACACTGTATGTCTTGGTGGCCTAGTGATATGGACATTGCACTTGGATCTCAGAAGTTTTGAGTTCAAGCCCCACCCACACAGACTGCCAATCACGTTCCCTGAGCAAGACCCTTAACCCCACGCTGCTTCCCAAAGGGATGGTTAAATGAAGAGAGTGAATTTCGTTGCTTTTTAGTACATTTAGTAAATTCTAGTTTCTCTAAGACCATCAGAAAGACTTCTCCGCAATAGTTGAATTTACACGAAAGCATTGGCCTCATGTTTGCACCAAACAAAAGAAGGAATCTAGATGGTCAATCCATAAAGAAATGTATCTCTGAAACCAGTGGCGACTGGCCAATAGAGGGCGATAGGGCGCAGAATGACCCTGAATAAAAAAATATTTTAATTAATATTAATATTTTAAAATAGTTCGAAATATATTGATATATATTTTTTAGATGTATAAGATAAATATGTAATCTAATGATGAATAAAGTGTCAGTTAAGTTCATTTTTCATACACATTTTTCGTCAGATTGGTGATATGTTTCCGCCCTAGGAAGCAAACATCTTTGCCCTTTGACTCTCGTTGAAAGTTGTACATGCACAGTAACTCCTCTGCAATACAAACGTATAGGATGGCCCAGGGCGCAGCTAGGCAGCAACCTGAGGTGAAAGGAAGTGCATTTGCTCACCATCTCCCGCCACAGCGCACATGTTTTGTGGGTGAAAACAGGTCGAGTCGCAAGAGTCGAGTAGCATTGGATAGATAGATAGATAGATAGATAGATAGATAGATAGATAGATAGATAGATAGATAGATAGATAGATAGATAGATAGATAGATAGATAGATAGATAGATAGATAGATAGATAGATAGATAGATAGATAGATAGATAGATAGATAGATAGATAGATAGATAGATAGATAGATAGATAGATAGATAGATAGATAGATAGATAGATAGATAGATAGATAGATCTATAGATTTAATGAATCCTACAGTATCAACTACTCTGGACATAATCTAGATCTAAAAATTTATAAACAGTTCAATTTACATTTTTGAGAACTGAAACAGTGGCGCAGGGGTAAAGCCCAGTGCCCATGTCAGGAGGCATTATTTCTTTCTGTTGCCTTCACAGGTTTCAGTCCCTTCACATCCTCCGCTCTCTTTTTCAGTTCTGTTTACTTTCAGCTGACCTCAAATATAGATAGCACCAGTAAATAAAAAAAAACACTCAAAGCTGTAAGATAAAAGTTTTTCCAAGTCTCACTTCACGAATTCAAAATGCGTCAAGCATTTTCAGTTACCTAAAGCAAAGGGGGTATTTACAATTTAGCAATACTAGGCAGTTGCCATGGCCCCAAGTTCGTGGGGGCCCCATAAACTCTGTTTACATGTATTGTTAATATAACAATTTCGTATTTATGCACATTAATTATTGTTTTGAAAAAAATCCTTTCGCTAAAATGCCATCACAACACTTATAACATAAAGTGCGTAAAGCCATCCCCATCCCCCTGCTGTCATGATTCATGCAGCTATTATTTCATACAAATGAAAAATGGAGAACAAATAAGCAGACCATGGCTTGACTACAGCAAAAAGAAGGACTATGTTATTTACTTTTGCCGTCACTTTTTTGGAAACACAGGAAGGAACAATCCGTTAAGTGAGCTCAGTGCTTGGAAAAGGTCTTTCAGTTCTTTTGAGATAGCATACAAAGTAAGCTGAGTACAAAACATAGAGAGGAAAACAACAATAAAAAGGACAAGAAGAGAGGGACAAAAAGTAGAACAAATAATGTATGTCTATTCTAATAAAGTTTCTGTATCTGTATAATGGGTCTGTTTTTATGTGTAGTCTTCTAAATTCAGAGGGCCCCCCGCCTGTCTTTGCCTAGGGCCCCAAATTTCCTAAATCTGCCCCTGCCTAAAGGAGGAGGCCATATGGCTAACACACAGTTAAAAAAGTCCAGTGTCAGTGGGGCATGACAGAGTTTTCTAATATTTCCACCTGTAGCCCAAACACAGAACTGCTCTTAAGTTATCAATAATGGAACCTTTTTGCCAAGATTCCTACTTCTCAGGTTCTCTGCATCTCTTTCTAAAGGAAACACATGCTACTAACAATTTATTTATATATATTTCTAAATATATATATATATATATATATATATATATATATATATATATATATATATATATATATATATATATATATATATATATATATATATATATATATATATATATATATATATATAAAATAAAAAATTATTTTCCTCAAACCCAGCAAGGTAATACATGCAACTTTAACTTCAACCAAACAGCAACTAACCACTTCCTTTTTACACCACCTCCTCTGCAGCAACATTTAAAGCAGACAACAATGTTCCAGCCTGTCTCTCACTGTCCGACGGTCATCATGTTCATCCTGAAACAAGCTGCGCTGCTCTTCATTCAGCTCCTCAATACAGGCTGCATCTTTGCAGGTACAGTTGAGATTTATGTTTGTGATGCATGATGGTTAAACTATAATGTTCTCTAATTTGCTTATTTGTTTTCTTCCATTTCAGCGCCTGCCATAAAAGACCACAGAGATGTTCTGGTATCAAGAGGAGATTCAGTTTTATTCATTTGCAACATATCCAACTTAGACTCAACGTTTATCCTATGGACCAAAGACAGACCTTATTTTATTTACTCAACTTCCTTTAATCAAACATTTTCAAATTTCTCCTCTAACAGACTGAGAATAGAAGCAAACATGCCGTCTACTCTTAATATTATTTGTGTTCAGCATGATGATGCCGGAGTTTATACTTGCAACACAACTGGCAAAAAAGGCATTAACAGTATGACATGGAACTTAACAGTACTGGAGACCCAAAACGGTATCAGTTACCGAAAATGGTACGTACTGCAATACATACTGTGATGGTTAAAGTTTAAACTATGAGCTGTGTTGATGATCTGTTTGTTTATTTCCAGAAATCAGTTTCTCAGAGTACGTTACATTCACACTATCATCTGCCCTGGGGTTGCTTTTATGTTGCACTGCATTAGCTGTCTGCCTCTGTAGGTGAGTTATATCTAATTCACTGCTTGCTGTTCAGTTGAAGAGCTGCAGCTCAGGAGTTGATCATGTTTACTATAACATTCAGTTATGTTACAACATTGTGTGTCAAATTAGTTTCATATATAAGTTAATTGATCTCTGATTTATTTTTACCCCTTCAATAATTGATGAATGCGATGCAGTTTTGATTTACCATTTTTAAATTTACATTTATAGCCAGGAAAAAGGATTTTAAAATTAAATCTTTCCACACCACTTTACATAAAATGCAATGATGTGACTATGAGAGCAATAAAATGTAGAGAGCAATCATAAAAGCTTGTAGTGTTATTAAAAAAAACATGAAAAATATTCCCCTATAGATTGTTATTCTGCATTAGTTGTGATTTTGTGCCAATTCTACACATTTAAAGTGCACTGGAATTTAACCATTACAATTATTATTATTATCATTAAAAATAGTATTGCTATCATTAATATAAAAATAATTATTGCATATAAATAGCATCATAAATATTATTTTGTTGATTATGTTTCATAGCTTAGAACATAAATGGTTATAAAAATGAGCTGCATTAATCAAAGACCATAGGGGTAAAAACATGCCAGCATCATTGTAAATATAATATTAGACACATGATAATGTTGACTTAAGTCTAAGGCACAGTGTTCATCTGTTTTACACAATCTTTCCCTCTTAAAATAGTCAAGTTTAGCAAACTATGACTTCTAAGCTCCCATATACTTAAAACCACTGTTCTCATACTTGTTTATTTTACAAACTAGCACCAAGAAATTGCATTAAAGATTAATGTTTTGATTCTAATTCACAGCGTATCATTTTGTCTAAGCAAGAAGAACAAAACCAGAGACCGAACCTGGAATCTGAGTAACAGCAGTATCTTTAGCTGCACGGAGTATACTGTTCAGCTTGGAGAAAAGGTTAGGGGAGTTTTATTTGTTGGTCAATTTGTATTCTTAATAGAGTGTTTTATTTCTTGCTCAATATTTGTTTGTTTTTTTGTTTTTTCTTAATTTAATTTTATTTCCCTCTTTTTATATTTGGTAGGAAGCAATTCCTTCACATTCCAAAGCTAAACCAACACGGAAGAGAATTGGTAAGGAAGATCAAGCGGCATCTCAAATCACCTTAAGAAAAAAAAGCAGAAGAGAAACCTCTGAATTAAATAACACATAAAGAGCAAGATCCAGTTTATAAAATGATACATTTGTACACATTTACAAGCTCAAAGACTTTAATATATATTTATATATAAATATTTCTGCTTTTGATTTTCTTTTTTATATTATGGAAATGTAAATGAATTATTACATTCTGCTGTGTTTTTTTTATTTTTTATTATGAAGTACCTCAGGAGGATTTTCCCTCCCCTTCTGTTCTGTAAATGTATTATTGCAATTTCCCAAAAAACAATCTATAGCAATAAATACTTTACAACTCACACTCCTTCAAAGTTCAAGCTCAGCAGTCTTGACAATTTTAGTCAAGAGGGAGCTTAATTATTTTTCCAGCAAAGGGCATATGTCCGTTTAAAGCATTTTATGCTGTAAAACAAGGAATTCTCTTCCTATTATGCTTATACTGTATATACTGAGAAAGTTCTTCTCTCATTCAGTAATCGCTTCATCTAGGGCAGGGGTCTGCAACCTGCGGCTCCGGAGCCACATATGGCTCTTTGGACCCTCTCCACCGGCTCTTAATACTGGCTAAAATGTATATAAAGAGCTAAATAATTTACTATAATATATACCGGTATCAATAGCTTTAGCGTTTTTTATAAGATGGAAGAGAATGAGTTTAAAAGAACCAGAAATATATTTTCAGAGACATTTCTCTATGAATTAGCTTGAGAATTATATGTTTTAACATTAAAAATATATGAATTGATTGTTTGAGATGGCAACAACTAATTTCCTATACAAGCTTTTAAAAAAAAGGTTTTCTAGAAAAAGTCATGGTATTATTTGCGGCTCTAAACAACTTTTATTTGGTCGTACTCTGGGCAAAACGGCTCTTTGGATATGAAAGGTTGCAGACCCAGTTCATCTTTTTCTGGTATGGGGCTGCAGCTTCCTATCAATGATAGGTACTATGGTCCAGTTAAAGCTATTAGTTGGTCTGAAATTTTACCATTTCTTTATTTAGAAAAATATTTCATATTTATATCCATTATAACAGCTTAATGTTAATGGGAGAATTAGCTAATTGAAGTAACATGCTGAAGTCACTTTGCAGGGGGGTTGATACCAAATATACAGGGTCAGTTGGACAGGGTGTGGCCTCTAAAAAGCCTGATTGGGATTTTTTTGTGTGAGAATGTTTATTTACTGTTTTGTTTTTTCAATTTATTGATGTCATGATGAAATATCCCCCAGGCTATATAAAGTTATTGATAGGCTGACACAAAGTGTGTGAACAGATGCGATGAGAGGATTCCACAGAATTGAGAGGTGTAAGAGACTTCATAATGGTGGAGCTAAATTTACGACATTTCTCTTGGCTAATTCCTACCTGATTTAGCAATATGTATATTTAGCTCTTTCTGATGTTCCCTCTTTGCTGTTGACCAACAGTGAAAAATAGTTGGTTTTCCACTTGGTGGTGTCAGGACTCAGCCGACAGAGCTGTAAAGTTTTTGCCGGTTCTGCTCCCTTCTGCTTTCTCCGCAGGTGTCCGCAGTTGACAGGTGGGCCACCTATGGCTGGTTCAGCAGCCTCTGATCGCGCTATTAGAGCAGCATACGACAGCAGGAGGATGCCGGAGTGTTAACCATAGCGGTACGCCTAAGGGCACAGTCTCTCGACAGAGAACTGACTTCCATCCCTAATTTCTACCTCTGTGGTCCCCAGGTTTCCTCTTGTGCCAAATCCTAGTTCTGAGTCTCCACTAGACCCTCCCTTTTCACCTGGCTTCAAGCAAGGTGCTTCGAGTCTGGTTTCTCCTGCTACCTTGGATCACAGGAAAGTAAGAGCTGCTCGGACCACCCTCTAACCCACGCCCAACTGGTCCCTCGGACACCTGCCACCTACTCCATCGATCTGCGCTGAGTCCGCTCCGTCCTCCCCACGTCCGGTGGTAAGCTCGCGTTCCGCTATATATTTTCTCCTGATCGCCTTTCCCGTCTAATTACCTACCTTTCCTTTCAGAAGTTGAACGGGTCCCGGTGCTGTTGTTCCCTCATCGTCTCCATTGCTTCCATTTTCTCTGGTTCAACTCAATAAACAGTTAACTGATCCCTGTTGCCGAGTTGGGTTCGCATGTGGGCAAAATACGTTCAGCCGAACATGACAATTGGCACCTTTTTTCCTCTTTTGCAGTGCAACCACCCACCAATCATGATACCTGTGCTCAAAATCCAAACAAAGATGGCGGAGGTGCCGCGTGGGAGGCCAGAGTCACATGACCAATGGAGACAGAAAAGTAGTAGTCATCTGTCTGAGCAGTCAGTTTACTGAGTCCACTATAATGTCCACTATATAGTCCCTGCTCTATATAGTGACTGAGGGATAACGTAGAGGTTAGGGCAGATGTTTGGACAAAGCTTTTGTCAAAGTACAGCAAACTGTGCACACTCTCCTTCTACACACATGGCACTCTGCCATTAGTGTTCCACTCTACAGGTGCAGAGCAGGGCTCTTAAAAACTAAAAAGCCTCTGCTGACCTAATTAACATGGTACCTTTACTGTTCTCGACTGAAATCACAGCTCCAAGCTGTACTATCTACAGAGCCCTACCAGAGATCTTAGAATTAAACTTACTCAAATACTTCATTGGCCAGTTAATGTCTCATATACTGTCAGAAAACTAATGTTTGGAAAAAACTAAATGTTTATTCCAAACATCTGACAAAAAGAGGTTGATTTGAAGCCTTCAAATAGCATGTATTTATATGAAGACCATGAGGTGGGTACTCACTTAGAAGTGCCACTTCCATTTTCAAAGTCCAAGGAAACCCTGATCATATGATATAATTGTCGTCTAATATTCTTTTTCTTATTACAACCTTATTTCTGTCTCAAAATGCATATTATGCTGACATTTATTTGCTCTACCAGTAAAAATTTAGGTGAACAATGTGAGCCAAATCCATAGCAGAAAATGAAAAGTTAAAAGTGTACTTCTTTAAAATATTGCTAATATGTTTTGTGTTTCTTTGTCCAATAAACCATAAATTTCAATTTCGTAACTTGTTGTAACTCGTTGTTTGCTCAGTTTTAAATAGGACCAGACTTCTACCTGATGAGTGGATATGGTTAGAGCTCTTATATATTCACCCCATACCCACATCCCACAACAGCTGAGCAACAAAGATACAACAGAGCTTATATTCATACCACCAGAATGGTTGAGAATAAGCATGAGGTATGATAAGTATGAGGTTTTATACACTCTCCTTGAATATATTTAATTTTTCTGCTGGATAATTTGCCTGATTAGTTATTCATGCATAGCCATTGTTTTGTGTATTTAATAAAGGTAGTGGCAGCATCTTGCCCCTACTTGCAACACTAGATGTGGAGGGTGCACACACATTGTGTGGAGGCTCTTTCATGTGGATTAGAGTAGTTTTACTTGGATAAAACACAAAGTTAAAAACACCAACCAGTGTGGTCCTTGGATTAAGATAAAATAAATACAGAAACAAAGAGGAGAACATTTGTACAGAAAGATGTAGGTAATGCATGTGTTTGTTCCTGTAACCCAACACATTTACCTTTATCTTTACTTGATGGTGGCGCACTGTTGGTGGGTAAAACGGTGGCTAAGCTCTGCATCCTTTTTTTACAGTTGTGGTTTTACATTGTTCCAAATAGTCCATAAAAAAATATATAGTGTAATGTAAGCAAACGTTCAAAGGTTAAAAACAATGACTAATAATACTTATTCATGGAGCACCCTTCACTCACAAGCAACACAAAAAGTGTTTTTCAGCATTGTGAATAAAAAATTGTTTTTCCCATGTAATATAACAATACAATATGAAACAATATAAAAGAATGTGAATAATAAAGAACAAAGGTCACAATCAAGCATATGACACCTGTGGCAGATGGTTGAGAATGGAAATATCTCACCTGCAAATGTGAGACAGTTGTGGTTAAAATTGTATCTGCACTGTATTTACTGAAAACAGCTTAAGCATCCCTCTTTCTCAAAAACCTTATGGTTATTATTTTCTTCTATGCTTAGAAGAAGCATAGAATAAAATAACAATAAGGATATTATTATCTTCAACGGTTCTTCTTATGGTTGTTATTATCTTTTGTGTATGGCCCTTGTTTTCAGATACCATACAATAGGGACAAATTAGTTTCAAAATAATTGAAATTAGCTTTAACCAGTCCAGAGTAGGCCTACTCATTGCTTAATCTAAGCCTTGTCTGACAGTACAGGAGGCCGTACAGTGCAGGTCTGTAAAGGGTACTGACAGTGCAGGTCTTGCAGCAAAACTAGGGGGGTAAAGAATTCATCTTCACATGAATTACATCTATTCACAAGCTATAAGACTGATTTTACTTTGTTTATCAGGAACATTATGTTGCTTATGGAAATGAAAGAGAACCTATTATTCACCCTTTTAAAAAAGTTAGAAAAGGTCTAGGGGCTATATAAAAGACAAAACAACAACTTATTATAGCTAACCTTCTCAGATAATAACATTTCAGCTCCTTATGACCAGATGCTTGTACAGGTGCTGGTCATAAAATTAGAATATCATGAAAAAATAGATTGATTTCAGTAATTCCATTTAAAAAGTGAAACTTGTATATTATATTCATACATTACATACAAACTCATATATTTCAGATGTTTATTTTGTTTAATTTTGATGATTACAAATGACAACAAATGAAAATCTCAAATTCATCATATCAGAAAATTAGAATATTACTGAAGACCAATAAAAACAAAGGATTTATAGAAATGTTGGCCAACTGAAAAGTATGAACATGAAAAGTATGAGCATGTACAGCACTCAGTATTTAGTTGGGCCTCCTTTGGCCTGTATTACTGCAGCAATGCGGCGTGGCATGGAGTCGATCAGTCTGTGGCACTGCTCAGGTGTTATGATAGCCCAGGTTGCTCTAATAGTGGCTTTTAGCTCTTCTGAATTGTTGGGTCTGGTGTATTGCATCTTCTTCTTCACAATACCCCATAGATTTTCTATGGGGTTAAGGTCAGGAAAGTTTGCCGGCCAATTAAGAACAGGGATACCATGGTCCTTCAACCAGGTACTGGTAGCTTTGGCACTGTGTGCAGGTGCCAAGTCCTGTTGGAAAATGAAATCTGCATCTCCAAAAAGTTGGTCAGCTGCAGGAAGCATGAAGTGCTCTAAAACTTCCTGGTATGTGGCTGCGTTGACCCTGGACCTCGGAAAACACAATGGACCAACACCAGCAGATGACATGGCACCCCAAACCATCACTGACTGTGGAAACTTTACACTGGACTTCAAGCAACGTGGATGAAGTGCCTCTCTTCTTTTCCTCCAGACTCTGGGACCTTGATTTCCAAAGGAAATGCAAAATTTACTTTCATCAGAGAACATGACTTTGGACCACTCACCAGCAGTCCAGTCCTGTTTCTCTTTAGCCCAGGCAAGACGCTTCTGACGCTGTCTGTGGTTCAAGAGTGGCTTGACACAAGGAATGCGACAGCAGAAACCCATGTCTTTCATACGTCTGTGTGTGGTGGTTCTTGAAGCACTCACTCCAGCTGCAGTCCACTCTTTGTGAATCTCCCCCACATTTTTGAAGGGGTTTTGTTTCACAATCCTCTCCAGGGTGCGGTTATCTCTCTTGCTTGTACACTTTTTTCGACCACATCTTTTCCTTCCCTTCGCCTCTCTATTAATGTGCTTGGACACTGAGCTCTGTGAACAGCCAGCCTCTTTAGCGATGACCTTTTGTGTCTTGCCCTCCTTGTGCAAGGTGTCGATGGTCGTCTTTTGGACAACTGTCAAGTCAGCAGTCTTCCCCATGATTGTGTAGCCTATAGAACTAGACTGAAAGACCATTTAAAGGCTTTTGCAGGTGGTTTGAGTTAATTAGCTGATTAGAGTGTGGCACCAGGGGCCATCAATTTTGAACCTTTTCACAATATTCTAATTTTCTGATATGATGAATTTGAGATTTTCATTTGTTGTCATTTGTAATCATCAAAATTAAACAAAATAAACATCTGAAATATATGAGTTTGTATGTAATGTATGAATATAATATACAAGTTTCACTTTTTAAATGGAATTACTGAAATCAATCTACTTTTTCATGATATTCTAATTTTATGACCAGCACCTGTATGTCTTCCAGTCAGATGTCTGGGCTTACCCCAGTAGCTTCTGAGACTGCTGTGATTAGGATGTTCAATGACATCATTATAATTAGAGACTGTGAAAGAACCACAGTGGTGGTGGTATTAAAGGACCTTAGTACAGTGTTTCGCACTATGATCACTTGGTTTTACTAGAGCATCTGAAAAAATTTGTCAGTAGTGAACTTTAAATTAGGGACCGGAAAATCATGTACAGCTCCTCAAAGCTCCATTTTTGGCCCCTTTTGTTCAATATCCTCATGCTCCCTTTGGCTCAGATTATAGCACACAATGATATCAGAAACCATGACAATGCAGATAACATATAGTAGTTAAAATTGAATATAAACCCACACTGGTGTCAAAAGTACACACATTTGTTACTTAAGTAGAAGTATAGATACTGCAGTTTAAAAACACTCTGGTAAAAGTTAAAGCATCAACTTGACCTCTTTACTCAAGTAAAAGTGAAAAAGTACTGTATGTGTTCCAAAAACTACTTAGGGCCGGATTTATCAAGATCCAATTTTGCGTGCAGTAATTTGCGCTCGCAAACTGGAATTTTGCGCGAGGGGCTGAACCATTAGCCTGACGTAGTCCGACTCAATTCTAGTCAGAATATGAGTCTGATGCTGCTCCATAGAGCTGTGATTATGGGGCGTGTTTTGAACGAACCAGGAAAAAAAATGCCTGTGTACTCAATTGGATAGACCTACAACCAATAAGAGCAACGGAGTGCGTGAGGTATGTTAAGCGAGGCATAGTTGTTGTCCACAAAAATCAAAGCGTGCAGTTTCACGCCTAGAATAAGAAGATGAGCCTTGATCGCGTTTCTCTGTTCCTCTTTTAAAATTAAATTGCTGTCGATATCTTCTAGAACAGACCTAATAGCAGAATCTACTCACCCAAACTCTCCAGCGGCAGCCATTATTGTTGTCACCCAAGCGCGCTTTGGTCACGTGGTTGATTACGTTACTCTTGATCATCTGTCCATCATCGTATAAAGCCCGCCCTGACAATTTGATTGGATCGCCTGACAGTGGGCGATAATACTCGCGCTACTATGGAGCAGAGCCAGACCGAACTTCCCCGAACTCAAACCTTGTGGGCGGGACTAAGTTCGGACTGGCACCCAGGCTACTGAACCATGGTTTGCGGGTGATTTACCAAGAGTGATTGCATAACTGGTGGCAGGTGCAAAACTGTTGGAGACGCCCTATTTAAATGATGGTTTTGTGCGTTTTGTGGTTTGCGGCAAAGTAGTTTGTAGTTTGTACAAACTAGTGCATTAAGAAATTTACATCTTACAGTGACACCCCCACCCCCTCCAAAAAAAAAAATTAAAAAAAAATAAAATAAAATATATATATATATATATATATATATATATATATATATATATATATATATATATATATATAATATATATATATATCCCTAAGGTGGTATGTGGCTGAATTTCTACTTCACTGCAGTAAAAAAAAAAAAAAACTGGTGTTTTGTATTGGCCTGTAGAAAAATGCACATACCAAATGGCTCACAAGAAGTGACTGTGGATGAGACTACTGCGCGTACGCATCCCCGCAGCATTGGCATGTTGCTCCACAGGCGCAGGGGGGAGGTCGGGGTTCTCCGGTAGGGCGTCAGGGCGACATGGCATTTAGAACGTCGGACAGCACTTCTGAAAAACCAGATTGGGAGATCCCAGCTCTCGCTGCAACCGTACGCTGGAATGACCCAGAATGACCCAGAAAAAGTGCAATGTTGCAAGGAGTTTTGTGATATCTGGTATCTGGGTCCACCTTGTGGCTGGCTCCAAATCCATTCAGACTTCCCCCAACAGCTCCAAAATGTCAATGCTGGATAAACGATATGTTTTGATGATCGTTTCCTCGTTCATTCCAAAAATATATTCACACGGAGTGAAAAAATGCATTCTCTGCATCTCTTTGCTTCATTTCGATGTCTCCTTCTTGCGACAATAACCGCTGCCATGTGTGCGCAATTACGCATACAGACCATTTGCACCTTCTTTTGAAACGTGTTAAATATAGAGTCAGATACCGTTAGCAAAATTGCTTTAAGGTTTGATAAATCACTTTGCGAGTGCTAAATTAATATATTTACATGTTCTCCTCCCACAAGACGCACTTTTGCGTGTAAACGCCCCATATTGCATATTCATTTCAGAAGAAGTACTAAATAGATAAGAGGCTCTATTTAGCACGTTTTAAAGACCAAATCCTTTTAGCACGCTGTTGATAGATCAGTTTGTACATTTTTTAGCCTGCGTAGTGAAATAGCTCACGTTTTTATACACACAAACCTTTGATAGATCCGGCCCTTAGTATAAAAGTATAAAAGTGTAAAGTAACTTTTAAAATTTAAAGCGTTGTATGACTCATCCAATTACACTAGATTTCACTAGATGCGGATGGCACCAATGACGTGAAATAAATATTTATAATCATTAAACCAAATCCAAGAGTAACGAGTAATGGTTATTTTAAGAATGTAAGGAATAGAAAGTACAGATACTTGTGTTAAAATGTAATGAGTAGAAGTCAGAAGTAGGAAGAAAAATAAGTAATGGAGTAAAGTATAGAAACCTAAAAAGTGTACTTAAATACAGTAACAAAGTATTTGTACTTCGTTACTTGACACCTCTGTAAACCCATTAGATTGTTGCTTGATGCCTATGACAGATCAATATGTGGATGTGCCATAATTTGCCAACTGAATAAAAGCAAAACTGAGGTAATAATCTTTGGACCAATGGATGAGAGATATAGTGTTAGCTTACAGCTTCAGCTACTAAAGCTAGAAACCACGTATGGTTGAAATCTTGGTGTCATGATAACTCAGACCTGAACCATCATTAAAAAAAAAGGCAGTTACTAAGTTAGCTTTGTGTCAAATTAAGAACCTTTTCATGATTAAAGGACCAATGTCCTTGCAGGATTTGTCTGTGTTGATATTGATATCCACAAAATACATCTTGAATGTAACACTTTGATTCATATAGGTCGGATGCATTCAACATGGATATGCTTGACGTCACAACCACCAAGCTACTTGGGAACATCCGACCCGAAGTAAATTCAGAAAAGTAGCCTTCAGGCTTATAGATAAATCGGACCTGCACCACTGAGGTGTCAGTCTGCTCATTAAACCATGTTTTAGTCATAAAGCGTTAAATAAAAAGGCTATTTTAAAGATTTTTCTCAGTAACAGCTTAGATAAAATCTCTTTAAATGAGTTGTCATTAGATGAGTTTGTGGCTTTTTTCTACTTGTTTTACTACCTGCTTTTATCATGTTTTTACCATTATTTGCTTTCATCTGCTTTTATTTTATGCACTTTGAATTGTCTTTGTACTGAATTGCACTACACAAATAAACTTGCCTTGCCTTAATACCTGCTACTTTTATCACCTTTCAGAGAGCTATTTCACTTGAATTCAAATATGCTATAGCAGGCCTCAGCCCCTAACCTGTGTTTGCACTTGCACTTTATACACATTGCACTGACAAGAAGGGTGAGATCTCTCCTTCAGACAAAGTATGGCAACTTTTTGGCAATGTGGCAGTGACAATGCCTTCAAAACAAATGGAGCCAGGAAGATCTGTTGCAGTGACTGAGAGAACATGCATGAGCACTTTGTTTATTGCAGCCAAAAACAAGATACTTGCCTTTTCCAGAATGCATTTCAAAGCGCTAGGGGAACTTCTTATTAGGATAAAAAATATATATCTCTTTTTTGTTGTTGTTTTCTTTTTTTAAGGTTGTGGTTGTTTTGGGTTTGCTCTTTCCTGCACAGAGACATCAGTGTTAATACAGCGTCAGGTCTAACTGCCGTTTACATTCAGTGCGTTAGAGATTCGTTCCTCTTTCACTGCTTGAGAAGCTGAAAATTATTGCAGCAATGGCCTTAGAGTTAACAAAGGAAATCATGGTCAGTCTGGTATACAGTAGTTCCACATTTCTGGTGAGAAAAGTAACAACATTAACTGAAACCCAGAGACGGCGTCAGTATCACGGTAAGAAATGCACAAATAGTTGTTTAAACTCATAAATTATACACAATGAATTAATGTCAGCATTCACTGTATTTGAAGCTAGTTTATATAGTTCACTGAAAAGGATGATACTGTATATAAGTGGAGGTTGTTCTTCTCTTGGTTACCCATGTAAAACAAAAATAACAAAGTTTGCAAAAGAAGGTGGGAGTAAGAAACCATTAGGATTCTCAGAGCACTCAAATTAGATGGGCATTATCAAGCTTGATTGTTTAAAACTTCATTAACTGCCTGGTCTGACAACTGTTTCCTGGTACTCTCACACATATGCTTTTTGAGACTTGTTTATGACACGTTTTTATGACTTGGCTTCCCAGCACTTCCTCTGCATTTACACCTATAGCAGACAATAAAGTTTCTGTCTGGCTTTTATATTCTGATGGTCACCATGTTCAGTCTGAGGCAAGCAGCTCTAGTTCTTATTCATCTGATGAAAATACAGAGTCTCTTTGAAGGTAAGGTGAATATATATTTTTCCTCATTGTTTCCTACAGTACTGAACTGAGTTTAACTGCAACATTTCTGTATGTTTCAGTATCAGCCACTCAGACGGCACATTCTAATACGGTTGTGTCCAGCGGCGACCCGGTCACATTTACTTGCAATATCTCTGGGAATACCCCCAAGGAAATCACCTGGACCGATGGCAGATATCATTTTGTGAATATTAGTCAAAATCAGACATTCTCAAATTTCTCAACCGAAAGAGTTAAAATAGACTCTGAGATGCCTTTTAAGTTCATTATCTTCAGAGCTCAACATAATGATGCAGGATTTTACACATGTAGTATAACTGATACAGAGGGCGTCCATGAAAACACATGGAATTTAACTGTTTTGGAAAGAAACACACGGAATTTAACTGTTTTGGAAAGACAAGGTTTGTTGAGACAATAACAATATAGTATTTAATTGCAATGACATTACAGTTCACCATCACCCTGCATGATACTGAATACCTCTTTTTTTCAGGTATAAATTTCTCAAGGCATGTGTTTTTTATTTTATCACCTTCCATTGGATTGATTTTATGTTGCTTCATGCTGGTTGTCTGCCTCTGCAGGTAAGTAATAATAATCATCAGGGCTGCATGTATGATAATGGGTAATAGTATGAAAATTTAGACAAATCTTTAATTAATACAACACTTTTGCATCAGATTTGCCTAATATTTTTTTAAGGGGTTTTTAACTTCCTTCCTTTGGAATGGCCAGTGGTGCAGTTTGTTTTGACTAAATTTAGCGAGACACTTTTCATCTTTTAGCTGAAAATAATCACTGAATTGTAATGCTTGAACTACTAAAGTGTGTTTATAGCAAGATTAAGGTCAACTTGAAAAAAAAAGGAAAAGTTTTCTGTTATTGTGTCTCTAAAATGAGCAAAAAAACAGACGTTTACCATCATAAATTTGGTAATCAAAAACATATCATTAGAATGTGCAGAATACTGGGAGAAGGATATTTAAATAATTTTAGATATACATAAATGCAATTGATCAATCCCAAAGCCTGGAGTAAGATTCAGTTCCTCCTTTCATATTAGGCAATTAAAGGAAACATTTACTTGCCATCCTCTGCATATAAGATACCAGGTCTTTGGAGAAGCACGCTCAATAGAAACGCCAATACTTCCTTCTCTTAAACCTAGCTAGCTTCTCCTGAGCCCGAGATGCTAAGAGGCATAGGGCCAGATTTATCAAGATCCAATTTTGCGTGCAGTAATTTGCGCTCGCAAACTGGAATTTTGCGCGAGGGGCTGAACCATGAAATTTTAATCTTACAGTGACCCCCCCACCCCCTCCAAAAAAAAAAAAAAAAAATATATATATATATAAATATATATATAAACTTTGGCAAACCTTTATTCCCTAAGGTGGTATGTGGCTGAATTTCTACTTCACTGCAGTAAAAAAAAAAAAACAAAAAAAAAACAGGTGTTTTGTATTGGCCTGTAGAAAAATGCACATACCAAATGGCTCACAAGAAGTGACTGTGGATGAGATTACTGCGCGTACGCAATGGGGAGGTCCTGTAATGTATAGCCTAGCTTCAAAAGTCTCAAAAAATGTTAATATGAGCTTCTTCACCACTACAGGAATTGTAGGAGGAGAAGAAAATCCCAACATTTAGGCGTTAACCAGGTGAGAAATGTCTGTCTGTCTGTCCGTCCGTCCATCTTAGCTCTTCTTTTGCGCTCTACAATGTCTAAAATGCTTAATTGATTTTTGCTATTCTCACTGCTTCTTTGGAAGAGTTTTTAGATGCCAAGCAATTACTTAAAGGCAACCATTTCTACTGCTATTGCTTGTTTAGATTATAACTGCTAAACCAAGATCATAGCGTTATTCTCAGATTTTTTCATTTTTCTTCCAGGCTGTGTGGAAAGGTTTAGCTTCTAGCTGGGCCCATTTAATATTTCCTTATAAGTTAATTGACATGATGACTAGATTTTCTGCTTTCAAAATGTTTTTGCTGTTGTCTCGACAATCTTATGACTGTGACTCTGTCTTTATCCTGCAGTATATCCCGACTGATCCATCGGATAGTTCAGATTGCTGGAGGAGCAAGCAGCAGAGAAAGGGGTACATTGAGAGAATGAACTCAATTTATGGCTATTTCTGAGCTGAGACCCCCTTCAGACATATCAAGGTGGATATATGTGTTTGATGAACATTACCTGCAGTTTTCTTTAAATAAGAGGAGACTCTAGAACAGCGGTCCCCAACCTTTTTTGCACCACAGACCGCTATATGTCAGACAATATTTTCACGGACCGGCCGGGGGTAAATACGATCAAGTAAAATGATACAACTGGCATAAAATCAAATACAAACAGCATAAAAATATAACAACAAGCCGGTCCCATCTAGGGGTAATAGGAGACAATGACACACGAATTGCCCAGTCTGCTCCGTAGCTTTGCTTTGGTTGCTGTTACCGCAGAAAATCCCGCTTTAAGATAGGATGTTAAATAACATCGGACGTTCATAAATCATATATATATATATATATATATATATATATATATATATATATATATATATATATATGTATATATATATATATATATATATATATATATATATATATATATATATATATATATATATATATATATATCCTTCCTCTTGTGTTAGCTTTCTGCTGCCATCTGTAGTGTTAGCGGGTCATTTTGGACCCGAGTATTAAATCAGCCATAAAATACCCTAAAAACAATCTTTCATCATCCAATGTTTTTCTTAACGCTTGTTTAGCTGATTGGGCTCCCTTATCTATTAAAAGATTGGTTTTAATATTTTTTGTGGCCCCCTGGGCCTTTGTTTTAGCAGCATACCCCTCGTTTTCAATGTCTAAAAAGTGGTCAAATTAACCTTAAGAGAAGAAGGCAACAAAATAATCAGTTGTTCTGTTACCTGAGTGCAACTGAGAGATATTAAAACACATTTCATAAATGTTCAACAAAAAAAAAAGATTTTAATTTTAATATTATCAAATATAGTAACATCTATGGTGTTTCGGGTCATTTTGGACCCGTATATATTTACTTCAAAAAAAGGGCAAAAACAAGTCTTTTTTTCCCACACAATAGAACTTGAATACAATATTTATATTTGTGTATATTTACACTTTTGGTGTGTTCTTTGCAGATATATTTGTTGCAGGTGAAGCACACTATGTAGGTTTTTCTGTCCATATTGCTAGGGCAGACCTGACACCTCTTTCTTTTTGAGCGAGGTGGTCTCACTGGCATTGTGGCTATGGATGGAGTGCTTGAGGCAGGGCTGGCATCAGAGGGGGAAGGTGATGCTGATGCTCTTCTTGTTGCTGTGGATGTGGATGGCATGTTTGGTGACCACTGCAGCTGTCTGACCAAGTCTGCAGTAGCTGGGTCTCGGGGCACCCGTTCCCATTGCTCAATGTGCGGCTTGACAAGGGAATTCACGAGCTCCTCAAGAAACATTCTCCACTTAGTGTTTTGGGTTGAATTCCACCCTTGGTGAATATGGGTCCACAACACAAATGCATTGTATGCAGACACTATTGAGGATGTTGTAAAACACAACCATTGGCCATCTCCTGGTCATTCGCTGGCAATTGTAGGTGGCAGTCAGCTTGTCCAGATTGTCCACTCCTCCTGTCCTTCACCAGCCACATTTCAGCGGGCAGCTCAGGTTTATTTTTTTTATGGTGCCCACCATGGTGAGTTTCCTCCTGAGAAGTTCCTGTCCAAGGTCATAGCATGTAAAAAAATTGTCACAAGTGATGTTGTGACCCTGCAGTCCAGTAGTCAAATCGAGGACTACCCGTTTTCCTTGGTTTTTACAGGGATGCCGCTTGCAGATTTTCCTGTGTAAATCTGTATGTTCCACTCATAGCTTGTTTTAGCATCACAGGCTGCCCAGATTTTTATGCCATATTTGCCTGGCTTACTGTGCATGTATTGCTGGAACGGGCATTTTCCTCAAAAAGGGAGAAAACGTTCATCCACTGTCACCTCTGGCCCTGGGTTGAACATCAGTGGAAGGAGTTGCACCCATCTCTCCCAAACATCCCTGATGGGAGCAAGCTTGTCAGATTTTGCTCTGGTGTATCGATTGTCAAATCTGAGGACTCTTGAGATCATCTGAAACGTCCAAAGAGACATTGTTGCCGGTTCTCAGAGGCCTGCTCATCTCCATCGCTAAAATCCTGTGTGTCCTCTGCCTCATTTGCAGCAAAGATGTGATCCAAAGCTTTATTTACAGTGAATCTTCTCCTTATTGTTGCATCCTGTGAATTGGCGATGTGTACTCCTCAAGTCACCACCTCTACACTCAAATGGCTTGACAAGCCTGGACATGTCTCCCTTTGTTTGTTTTCGCAAAAAGGCAAAGACAAAAAGGCCCTAAATTAAGCTCAAGTGGTTGGAGGAAGAGCCTGTTGGTTGATTGTGTGTTCATGATTACATTTTAGGCATTTTTTTTATTGTTTTATAATCAAAAATTGTAACCGGGTCACAAATGACCCGAACACCACAAAAGTCATTTTTTTCACCAGAGCACTTTATAATTTAGTAAAAAAATAAAATTTGATTTTACTTTGTTAAAATGGAAGTCCTTGACAAAGTCAAAAAGTTTCAATGCAAAAAACAAATGTATGATGTACTTTTATGCATGCTAAAACTCAAAACGGGTCCGTAGGGACCCTAACACCATAGGAAGGATATATATATATATATATATATGGTTGGTGGTTGGGGACCGCTGCTCTAGAATTGGTATGTATGTATATAAGCCATATTTCTTACTTTTTTATTTTGTTTTTCTTTCCTTATTTATCTTAATATACTGTATACACCTGGATATACTGTATATATATTGTTTATTCTTAATGTACCTTTTCCTCCTTGTTTGCACCTTCTTTAACTTCTATGCCAATATGTGACGAGTGAATATCTCCGCTGTGAGATCAATAAAGCTCATTTAATCTAATCTAATCTAAGACATATATGAAGAGGACTTATTTCAACAACAGGACCATCTTCATGTTGTCGGGAGTGGTGTTAGATGCAGGGTTTCGCCCTGAAACCAAAGGGTTGCCAATTTGAACCACAGCTCTGGCTTTCCCTGTTGATGTGTCCTCAGGCTATAAGCTCTTCACCTGTATTGCCTACTGATGGTGGTCAGAGGCCCGACTGGCACCTGTGTATGGCAGCCTCTGTTCCATCAGTGAACATCAGGGCAGCTCTAGCTATAATGTAGCTTACCACCGTCAGTGTGTTTGAATGGGTGAATGATTGAAAGTAGAGCAGGGGTCACCAACGTGAAGCCCGCAGGCACCAAGGGGACCTCAGAGGCCACAGGGGGTGACCACAGCATCTTCTGAAAATGGCACAACTCACCAGTGGGCTAAGACTGAAATTTTATCTTAATACATTGCTCTCCTTTTTAAATCATTTATAGAGCATTTCATAATTTTAATCATACAGTGCATTTATAGAGATTTCAAGATAAAAATATAAAGAAAATGAGAAGTTAAAAAAGAAACAATGAAAATATGCTTATTATGTATGAAGTTTAGGTGAACGCTGATCACTCCGGTTAATAGGTCAGTATATATATATCAGTATATATATATAAAACAAAAAAAACTGTTTTCTCACCCCTCGTGGGGTGGTATGTGTCATCCTCAAGCTCGGGTCCTCTACCAGAGGCCTGGGAGTTTGAGGGTTCTGCGCAGTATCTTAGCTGTTCCTATATATATATATATATATATATATATATATATATATATATATATATATATATACACTGATATATATATATATATATATATATATATATATATATATATATATATATATATATATATATATATATATATATATACATACACTGATATATATATATATATATAACCACTCCCCTTCTTTCAGTGAGAGATATTCAATTCCAAGCTGCCTCTCACTCTCAGTTGATCAATTAATGAGTTAAATTGACTAAACATTGGAACAAATTACAAGCTAATCCACAGTTTTTTACTGTGTGAAGTAGAACATGGGAGACAAGACCTTGAGTTGCTAAATATAAGCTTATAGATACTTTCATTATTTTCAATGCAGAGATGGGGGTTGTGGAGTCAACAAGTCATCCCCAAGCCATTTATTTGTTCTGCCAAATCATTTAACCATGTAGGTCTACATGTACAGTGAATTAAACTGTGCAATTTCATGAGACAGAATGCTTTTCATAATAAAACTGGATAAATTAAGTTTTCTTTATGTGATTGATTGCACTTAATTAAAAATATGCATTCAGGAGTTGAGTTGACAAAATGAAGACAAAAGGCAAAATAATAACTTAATAATAACATATATATATATATATATATATATATATATTCTATCTTATTTTGTTATTTTGTTTTGTTTTTTGTCTGCACCAACAACACCAAGTCAAATTCCTTGTAAGTGCAAACCTACTTGGCAATAAACCTGATTCTGGTGATAGAAATTTCCATTTAATAAAATATTTTAAAAAACGTCAAACTGAAATAAATGCTTCACTCTGTAACTGTCTTATTAAGCATCTGATGACAGTAGAACCAATGTATCCCGTTCCTGTTTTTATTCATCATATTTAGAAGGCTAACATTATGAAAATGTAACAATTCTTATCTTTAAGGATTCAATTTGTGAATATTTAAAACATTCTTTCCATGCTAAAACGGAAACAGAAAGGGGTGGAATGGTTCTCCAGCCACAATAATGGGGCTAATGGGGCATTTACATCTGAAAAGGGATCATGAGTTGATAAGTACAGTTGGGGGGACTGGAGACAGAAGAAAATTCTCACATCTCTTCTTCTGTTAAAAATAAATATATGGCAAAAAAAAAAAAAAAAAAAAAATTAACCCCCAAACTATTCAGTAAAAAGGCCTCCTAAATATTGAGGAACCAATCATTTAGTCTGATTAGTTATAAAAAAAAAAAAAATATTAAATCAAGAAAACATAAAATTCTGGTATTGTAAAGCCCAAAATAGAGAACATAGAAAAATAATGCACTTTTCTGTTTGTTTGTTTTTTATTTACCTTTTTTTTATATATATAAAATATTTTTTGTTTACATTGTGAAAGCCTTGGGCCAGCCCAAAAATAGGTGTCTGCCTCCAGGCATATGCCCTGTATTACCAATGGCAAGTCCAGCCCTGAAAGTATCTACTTACATCTTTTGACATCACTTTAATTAATTAAGCACATTTGGTCTCCACTTTGTGCTTTTTTTTTAGTAGTTGAACTTGTACGTAAGTATTCT